AATCACTGAACTGACAAGTTTATGGAGAAACTCTAATACGGAAAACCCTTGTAATCTCTGACATTAATACAAAAAAACTTAAAATAACCTGAGTATTATAAAATATGTAAACTAGTCATCAATTTTTTTAAATAATATGAAATTTAGAGTTCATGATTTGCATTATTTGTTTTTCAGCATATGTAAAATAACTGTTGGAATACAGTGTTCATGTATTTTATGCGACAAATACATCTGTATTCAGTGGAGATGCACTATATTGCCAAAAGTAAAGGGGAAGCCTGCCTTTTCATGCACATGAACTTTAATGGAATCCCAGTCTAATGCATGCCATAGATGGGTCGAAAATCGGCCGATTTGTCGGCCGAAAATAAAATCGGCCGATTTTCGGATCGTTAGTGGGCGATTTGGTCGGCCGTTTTTCGGTATTTTGGCCGTTTTTGTTTTTCGGTAAAGTTGGGAAAAAAATCGGCCGATTTTGCCGATCGGCCGATTTTCGCGGCAATTAGTGGGCAAATCGGCCGATTTTTTACCGATAAAAAATCTGCGCATGAGCAGTGACCTGCAAGAGGAAGACAAAAAGAAGAAAAAGAAGAAGAGGAAGAGGATGAAGAAGAAGAGGAAGAAGAGGATGAAGAAGAAGAAGAGGATAAGGATGAAGAAGAAGAAGAAGAGGATGAGGATGAAGAAGAGGATAAAGAAGAAGAAGAGGATGAAGAAGAAGAGGAAGAAGAGGATGAGGATGATGATGAAGAAGAAGAGGATGAGGATGATGAAGAAGAAGAGGATGAGGATGAAGAAGAAGAAGAGGATGAGGATGAAGAAGAGGAAGAAGAAGAAGAGGATGAGGATGAAGAAGAAGATGAAGAAGAAGAGGATGAAGAAGAAGAAGAAGAAGAAGAGGATGAGGATGAAGAAGAAGAAGAAGAGGATGAGGATGAAGAAGAAGAAGAAGAGGATGAGGATGATGAAGAAGAAGAAGAAGAAGAAGAGGATGAGGATGAAGAAGAAGAAGAAGAAGAAGTAGGATGAAAATAAGAAGAATTCCAGTCCAACAAAAAGTATCTCTGCAGAGAGCTCCGCTATTTCTGACAGTTCTCTGACAGTTCTTTGACATTTACAGCGGTTGAAACATTGTATCTATTTGTTTCCGAATAAAAACATCTGTATCCTAAATGGAAACAAATAGATACAATGTTTCAACCGCTGTAAATGTCAAAGAACTGTCAAAAATAGCGGAGCTCTCTGCAGGGACACTTTTTGCCAGCTGTAGAAGGGATGAAAATCGGCCGATTTTTTTTACCATTGATGGTAACGTCGGCCGCTTGAACGACCGAATTTTCGTTTTTTAAAAGAAAAATCTGCCGTTTTTTCTCCCCATCTATGGCCTGCATTAGTCAGTAGGGTTCAATATTGAGTTGGCCCCGCCCTTTGCAGCTATAACAGCTTCAACTCTTCTGGGAAGGCTGTCCACAAGGTTTAGGAGGGTGTCTATGGGAAGGTTTGACCATTCTTCCAGAAGTGCATTTGTGAGGTCAGGCACTGATGTTGGATGAGAAGGCCTGACTCACAGTCTCCACTCTAATTCATCCCAAAGGTGTTCTATGGGGTTGAGGTCAGGACTCTGTGCAGGCCAGTCAAGTTCCTCCACCCCAAACTCACTCATCCATGTCTTTATGGAACTTGCTTTGTGCACTGGTGTACAGTCATGTTGGAACAGGAAGGGGCCATCCCCAAATTTTTCCCACAAATTTGGGAGCATAAAATTGTCCAGAATGTCTTGGTATGCTGATGTCTTAAGAGTTCCCTTCACTGGAACTAGGGGGCCAAGCCCAACCCCTGAAAAATAACCCCACGCCATAATCTCCTTTCTACCAAACTTTACACTTGGCACAATGCAGTCAGGCAAGTACTGTTCTCCTGGCAACCACCAATCCCAGACATGTCCATCAGATTGCCAGACAGAGAAGCATGACCAGTCACTCCAGAGAACACGTCTCCACTGCTCTAGAGTCCAGTGGCGGCATGCTTTACACCACTGCATCCGATGCTTTGCATTGCACTTGGTGACATAAGGCTTGGATGCAGCTGATCAGCCATGGAAACCCATTCCATGAAGCTCTCTACGCACTGTTGTTGTGCTAATCTGAAGGCCACACAAAGTTTGGAGGTCTTTAGCTACTGACTCTGCGGAAAGTTGGCGACTTCTGCGCACTGCGTGCTTCAGCATGCGTTGACCACGCTCTGTCATTTGGTGGCTGAGTTGCTGTTGTTCCCAGTTGCTTCCACTTTGTTATAATACTACTAACAGCTGAGCGTGGAATATTTAGTAGCAAGCAAATGTCATGTTATATTTTTTAAGCAGAGGTGGACGTTGAATATTTTTATGTCACATGATAGTTGTGTAATGGATATTCAAATGCTAATATTTTTGGACAAAAAAACACAAATTAATTTTAATACACAAAAACACAACATAATACCCTATTGTTTGGTAAAATATAAAAGATGATGTTACGCCAAATAGATACCTAACATGTCACACTTTTTTAGTATTATTATTATTATTATACAGTATTTATAAAGCGCCAATAGTTCGCTCAGCGCTGTACATTACCAAGGGGGACAGAACATGTGACAGAACAATACCAATACAATGCAAAACATGAGGGGATTGAGGGCCCTGCTCTTTCGAACTTACAATCTAGGAGGGAGGGGATGGTGGTACAGGAGGAGATAGCTGTGGGGGATGGAATGGTAGGAAGAGTGGAGGAGGTCGGCAAATTAGGGAGTGGGGTAGGCTTCCCTGAAGAGATGGGTTTTCAGGGTGCAACTAAAGGAGAGGAGAGTAGGTGATAATCTGATGGGTTGGGGCAGGGAGTTCCAGAGGATGGGTGACACCCTGGAGAAGTCCTGGAGGCGGGCATGGGAGGAGGAGACCAGGGAACTAGAGAGAAGGAGGTCTTGTGAGGAGCGGAGTGTGTGTGTTGGGTGGTACTTGGATATTAGGTCAGTGATGTAGTTCGGGGCAGTATGGTGGACAGCTTTGTACGTCAGTGTTAGGATTTTGAATTTGATCCGTTGTGCAATCGGAAGCCAGTGGAGGGATTGGCAGAGGGGGGTGGCGGAGATGGAGCGGTTGGAAAGGTGAATGAGTCTGGCAGCCGTATTCAGGATCAACTGAAGCGGGGATAGCCAGCGGCGAGGCAGGCTAGTGAGGAGGGAGTTGCAGTAGTCGAGTCGTGATATGATGAGGGAGTATACTCCTACGGAATGGCGCCAAACTATTTTACCTAAAAATCTCCGTAGGAGAAACGTTAAAAGCCTTTAAAGGCTACTAATTTAGAGTGACACGTGAGGTCTGATGCTAAACTTGTTTTTCTTGCTCTAACATTCATGGCAATACCTCATATGTGTGTTGCAATCATCATTTACATATGTGTGCAAGACCTACATGTGAGTTCTCATTTGCACATGTGCTTTAAAATGTTTTTTTGTATTGTAATATTTATTTTATTTTATTTTTTTTCGGGTCAACTTTATTGATATCACAGGGGATAAACATCATCCCTTGTTATAGCAGGGGGTCATGACATGTCCTCTTTTTTGAGAGATCTGGAGTCTGCCAGACTCCAGAACTTTCCACTGGCCTTCAAAGCTTCTGATAAAACCAAGATTGATTTGATCAGATGCTTTTGAAAGCCGGTAATGGCTTGTTTGCATGAGACCGAAACCGGAAGGGACTAAATCCTCATTGTTTCCGGTTTCTGACGTCGCCCAGTGGGAGGAATAACATGTTTCTCTCGCTGTGTTCCAGGAAGTGGATGCTACAGGTCACATTCTTACCAGGCTACTTGATTGAATGGGAGAGCCCAATAAAGGTGGATGCAGCGGTAGGAGCTGTAAAAGTGATCCAGCGGCTCTAGATCTGCTTGGATCACATTTACCAAAAACAGAATTGCTAGCTGAAAAAAACAATAAAAGGATCAAGGTTGAAGCCTCAACCATGATCTCAGTATAACCACTTCAACATTAGGTAGTTTTTAAATGGACAAAAAGTGGTTAAGTGGATTGTAGATCAGTGGCTTCCAGACATTAAGAAGGCAATACTGTCTTTTGAATGCCTGATTTTTTTTTTGGCAATTTTTTTTTTTCAACTGAAAGAGGACTTTGCATTTAAATACCTTGCTGCAACCAAGCCATTTGACTTCAATGGATGAGAGTCACTGCCACCTGTTACAATTGATGTGCTGAGTTAAATTTGCCATGGTCTTGAAGCAACGCTTTGAAGCCCCAACATGTGTATGAACTCCTCTGGCTGCCATAGTAGGTTTAAGGCAGGCCATGGAGTATGCAATTTTCTTGACTACAACCAGGTACAATTAGCCTGGCCAGAGATGGATCAAATCTCGTCTGCTCCCGGCTGACATTTAATCCATCTATGCTCTGCTTAAGGCTTCTGATTGGTAAAAAATGTGGATCAGCTGTCTGTTTCTGCCTCCCTTTTGATGCATTTGTAAATAAAGCCTTATAATCAAGCAGTTTTGATTTGCTGTTTGTATGACGGTCAGGTGTCTACAAACAAAACCAGCATTACTCGGCGCATGTAGCCCCCCCTTCTGGGCAAATCCCAGTTGATGGGGAACTTGTGCTGTCTCTCTCAGGGATGGTGCTGTCCTCATCTCCTTTGTTGGGGTGGTGAAGCTGCCCCCTGGCCTGTTTCAACACAAAATCGGCCATTGGGGACACTTGGCCATTGGGGAGTCTCCAACATAGCCACCATGTGCTGCCACCATGATGTCATTGTGGCCATGAGCTCTGATGTCCCCTGCATGTACAAAGGGGGATACAGTGGGATAGCGCTGTATGGCACTGCTCGCTGTGGTGGCTCATTGGCCCATGTCTTGATTTTTTGAAACTCCCTTTTTTCTTTGATTAGTGTATTTAATGGGATCTGCCCAGCCTCATGACTGATGTTGCTCACTATTTACTGGATGGTTGTACGGCTGTGCAGTCTTTGGAATGATTCAAGAACAGGTATGGTTTTCGCCCTTGTTTTGCCTTCAACTTTGATTTGCCAAATAATCTTTTTCTTTTGGCGATGATTTTTTTTGCCACTGCAGCTTCCTATTGATCTCTGCTGATGCCGTTTGGACCTGCCTGTCGGCTCCCTCTCACTTTGGTTTGATGAAGCACATGCTGAATTGCAAAAGTGTTTTTATAACTATCACAGGCTATGTTCCCAACTCTGCGGACGTGGGAGCTGGTATCTGTCAAATTCAGGTACCCGCTCCCCCTCCCTCCCCAAAGGTTCGCAGTCTCTGGTAATCTCCTTTACTGTCTGCAGTCTCTGGTCTTCTATACTATGCCTGCAGTCTCTGGTCATCTCCTGTACTGTGTCCGCAGTCTATGGTCATTCCTGTACTGTTTCCGCAGTCTTCGGACATTCCTGTACTGTGTCCGCAGTCTCCAGTCATCTCCTGTACTGTGTCCGCAGTCTCCGGTCATCTCCTGTACTGTGTCCGCAGTCTCCGGTCATCTCCTGTACTGTGTCCGCAGTCTCCGGTCATCTCCTGTACTGTGTCCGCAGTCTCCAGTCATTCCCTGTACTGTGTCCGCAGTCTCCAGTCATTCCTGTACTGTGTCCGCAGTCTCCGGTCATCCCCTGTACTGTGTCCGCAGTCTCTGGTCATCCCCTGTACTGTGTCCGCAGTCTCTGGTCATTCCCTGTACTTTGTCCGCAGTCTCTGGTCATCCCCTGTACTGTGTCCGCAGTCTGTGGTCATCCCCTGTACTGTGTCCGCAGTCTCTGGTCATCTCCTGTACTGTGTCCGCAGTCTCTGGTCATCCCCTGTACTGTGTCCGCAGTCTCTGGTCATCCCCTGTACTGTGTCCGCAGTCTCTGGTCATCCCCTGTACTTTGTCCGCAGTCTCTGGTCATCCCCTGTACTGTGTCTGCAGTCCATTGGTTCAGAATATTTTTTTTCTTATTTTTCTGCTCTAAAACCTAGGTGCGTCTTATGGAGCGAAAAATACGGTAGTTGGCCCATTTCATCTAATAATTACTATTTATACCAGAATACTTTTAGCCTGCGGTTTGTGTTTTTATTCTGAGATATGTTCAATAAAGCTGATTCATATAATTTTACAAATGTGTGTTTTTTCTCTTTAAAATCCCTGCCACCCAATTCTCCTTAAAAAACATCTGGCAAAATAATATATTATCTTGCAGTACAATAACACAAAATCAGCTAAAAACATTGTAAACTTTTAGCAAATAATTATCAGAAAAGGGGAAACTGAGAAATTCCCCTAGTAAACAAAATAATGTGCTTTAAATGTAACGAAAAGAAAAATTATAGAAAAGTGTCATACACAGCTAGTTTATCCTTAACAAATAACCTCCAAAATGTCTAGAAAGCTATAAAACAACAAACTTGCAAATACAAAAATAAAAATCTTGGCATGTTGGTGGTTTGAAGCAAGACACATTTTCTTTTATGACATTTCCATTTTAAAACAACTTTTAATTAACGATGTTACACAACTGACCTTACAGTGTACAAAATGCCAACTGTAATCATTAATATGTGTCATATTAGAAACAAATACACGCAATGTTCATAAAGATCATATTGAAATTTAAAAAAAAAAAGGCTTTTCTGTGATTATCCAAATCTCTGAGGGTTTTTGCAGTAAATTAAAAAGTGTCTGCAAAATGAAAAATGTTACCAGTGTGTTTTAGAATAGCGAGATAGAAATACAATATGAATGTTAATAAATTGCATATCTGTAAGGTCTCTGGCACTGTCAGACTAAGCTGGTACCTGTCAGCATTTTAATTTTATTGTGTGTAACAAGGCTATTAATCATAAAAGGGTGAGTTCGGGTTTTTTTTTATCACAGCTTTGCAAATTTTTAATATTGGCTCAGTATCTGAAAAAGTACAGTATGTGAGACTTACAGTGTATGGAGAATAAATAGTTGCTAGGTCAAATTTAGCAAAACCTGAAAAGTCTGTGGCTTGAGTTTCTAGCTTGTTAAACTAAAATCAATAACATTTATTTCAATTTCTCAGAACAATTGCTTTGCTACTTTGGGACAAAACCTAAAATTGGACATAGACAGGTAAATGCCTCACTGGGAATGGCGGGTACTCAGTGTCTTTCAAGTGTATGTCAAGCCAAAAACGTTTCTATCCTTTGTAAGATCAGACACAACGGGGTTTATTTACTAAAGCTGGAGAGTCCAAAATCAGACTCCCTTCTGCATAGAAACCAATCAGCTTCTAACCTCAGCTTGTTCAATGAAGCTTTGGCAATGAAACCTGGAAGCTGATTGGTTTCTATGCAGAAGGGAGTCTGATTTTGGACTCTCCAGCTTTAGTAAATAAACCCCTATTTGACATGCAGCTTACACAAGGTCAGGTCTGCAGAAAAACAGAGTGATGGGGGTACCTTGGCAATGTAACTGTAGCAGTTACCTCTGAAAAGGCCTGCTGAATGGTCCCAAGGTTCTTTCCCAAGCAAATGTATCTGCAGTCAAGCACACAGTCTCACTCACTCTTCTGGCTCAGTAAATAGTTTAGGGCAGGGGTATTAAACTGGCAGCCCATCAGCTGTTGCGAAACTACAAGTCCCATAAGGCCTCTACCTTTGGGAGTCATGCTTGTAACTGTCAATCTTGCAATGCCTCATGGGACTTGTTGTTTGGCAACAGCTGGAGGGACACCAGTTTGACACCCGTGGTCTAGGGATAACTTTTTTATGCTTTAATAAAACTTGAAGTTGGATGAGTTATAGGGTAACTGTGGGATACTTTAGCAACATAGAGTAGCAATTCAAGGACATTTTCCTCTACAAAGCTTCCTAGTACAGTCATTGCAGCAGCAAATAATGGACTGAGGCACCCACGGATACCGTAAGAAATGCCCACCTTTCAGTACACAGTCATTGGGATCTCACCATAAGTCTGTACTCTACCTTTGGGATTTGGATACCATGACTTTCAGACCACCCCAGATGTCAATCAGCTTGCAATGAATAGAAACTCCAGCTAACACAGCTGGGACCTTGTTGAAGAACAGATCAAAAAGCACAGCTGGACTACCCAGGAGGGCAGCAGCCCTGGCTAGGAACTTCTCCTCTTGCAAAGAAGCTCTTTGCTCCACGCCTTAAAATCAGTTGTGGCAAAATTATTCAACCCCCAATGCTGTAAAGGGGTTTAGGGACTATAGGTCATTTGGAATTGTATTCAGAATCAAATCCTACAAGGACGTTGTAACTACCCAAATGCAACTAAAATGACATCAATTGTTTATAGGTAGTAAATGGTTCTTATGTGGTTTCTTCATTGCTTATTAACCCCTTAAAGACTAAAAGGTTCATACAGGTGCTTGATCAGTATGGAAAACACCTGTTTATGTCACCGAGCAGCAATCAAGGGCACCAATTAACTTTGGTGATACTTTCTAGCACAAACATGGTGAAGGCAAGTAGAATGGTCCAGGACATTTTCCTCTTCACAGGAAGGGCAATGGCTATAAGAAGATTGCAAAGCCAAGAGACACCTTAGGAAGCATCATTCGCAAATTCAAGGCAAAGGGCACTGTTGAAACGCTACCTGGTCGTGGCAGAAAGAAGATGCTGACTTCGACTGCTGTGCGCTACCCCGTGTGACTGCTGAGGAACTGAGAAAAGATTTGTCAGATGTGGGTACAGAAGTTTCAGCCCAGACAATGACCACACTGCGTAATGAAGGCCTCCGTGCCAGAACTCCCAGGCGTACCCCCTTGCTGTACACAAATAAGAAGAGTCGATGGTATGCCACCATGTCTGGACACCACAAAAGTTGTGGGATCTTGGACTGATGGAACTGTTTGGGCCCATGGATCAACGCTATTTGGCCTACCAGCCTACTGTGAAGCATGTGGAGGGTCAATAGCTTTGGGGCTGTTTTGCTTCTGCAGGTACAGGGAAGCTTCAAGGTACCATGTCCCCAGATAATTCCTTCAGTACTCCAGCAGAGATATCATGGAAACGTGAGCAGTCCGTCACACACCTAGGCTTGGGAGACCCAACAGGACAATGATCCCAACACAGCTGGGCACCTTGATGAACAGATCAAAAACTTAAAGCACAGTGCGCAAGCCTAAGAATGGACTGAACTGGAGGCCCCCATGAAGAGGGCGAAGATACCCGTAGATCGCTGCCACTTGTGTCAAGGCTTCAGTTTAAAAGCTGTTAACTAAAAAAGGATGCTGTACTAAGTACTAAAAGATTGAATGTCACTTGGGGGTTGAATAAAACTGATAATGCTGTGAGCACAGAAAAGACATTTGTGGTTATTTCATTATAACTGTTATGTTATATTTGTCTGACCTACAAGTGCCTCTTTAATGTAAATGTAAGCAAGATGATGAATGATCAAAAGCAATATCAAACTGGCCAAAACACTCAATTTCACACCACAACTGTATATATATATTATATATATATATATATATATATATACACACACACACACACACACACACACACACATACATATACACATACATATACACACACACACACACACAGTTGTGTTCAAAATAATAGCAGTCAGACATCACTAACCTGATCAATCACTGTTTTTGGTAGAAATCATATTTCTACATAGCAAATAATTTACTAGCAGGTGTAGTAGAGTAATAGAAATCCAACAGACCCAACAGTCATGACATGCATGCTGCTGATTCTGTGTCATTGAATCACTAATTGAAAGGGGCATGTTCAAAATAATAGCAGTGTGGAATTCTATTAGTGAGGTCATTCATTCTTTGAAAAACAGGTGGCAATTATTGCCCTTATTTAAGGAAGGAAGGCAGCAAATGTTGTACATGCTGGTTACAGTGCATTTCTCTCTGAAATTCTGACGAAAATGGGTTGTTCCAGACATTGTTCAGAAGAACAGTGTACCTTGATTAAAAAGTTGATTGGAGAGGGGAAAACATATAAAGAAGTGCAGAAAATAATAGGCTGCTCAGCTAAAATGATCGCAAATGCTTTAAAATGGCAACCAAAACCTGAAAGACGTGGAAGAAAGCGAAAAAACTACCATTCCAATGGATAGAATAGCCAAAATGGCAAGGACTCAGTCAACAATCAGCTCCAGGAAGATCAAAGAAGGCGTAAAGTTCCCTGTGAGGACTGTTACAATTAGAAGACGCCTATGTGAAGCCAAGCTATCTGCAAGAAGCCCCGCAAAGTCCCACTGTTGAAAAAAAGACATGTGCTGAAGAGGTTACAATTTGCCAAAGAGCACATTGACTGGCCTAAAGAGAAATGGTGCAACATTTTGTGGACTTATGAAAGTAAGATTGTTCTTTTTGGGTCTAGTGGCCGGAGACAATTTGTCAGACGACCCCCAAACACTGAATTCAAGCCACAGTACACTGTGAAGACAGTGAAGCATGGTGGTGCAAGCATCATGATATGGGGATGTTTCTCATACTACGGTGTTGGGCCTATTTATCACATACCAGGGATCATGGATCAGTTTGAATACATCAGAATACTTGAAGAGGTCATGCTGCCTTATGCTGAAGAGGAAATGCCCTTGAAATGGGTGTTCCAACAAGACAACGACCCCAAACACACCAGTAAACGTACAACATCTTGGTTCCAGACCAACAAGATTGACATTATGGAGTGGCCAGCCCAATCCCCGGATCTTAATCCAATAGAAAACTTGTGGGGTGACAATAAAAAATGCAGTTTCTGAGGCAAAACCAAGAAATAGAGAAGAACTGTGGAATGTAGTCCAAACATCCTGGGCTGGAATACCTGATTACAGGGGCCAGAAGTTGGGT